GAACATATTCTTGATTCATGGCAGGTTGTTATTGTAACAGTATAGAATTTTTTCAAGAAATATTACAAAAGGGGTCACTAAACACATATATTAGTGTAACTATTAGGAAATGTTTATATTTCTTCTTAATGTCCAAAAAACACCTGAGTTACCTCAAGAATATAAGGGTTATGAGTTGTTGAGATGTTATGAAAAACTATAAACTATCCTCTGGGTATAAATCATGCATGGCAGCAGAAGGAAGAGAGAGGAGAGCATAACTACAAAAATACTTTGTTCCAGATGTCAGTATACTCTCAGCTCCTGGCACTAGTCCCCAGCCACTGCCAACCATAATAAAGCAATTATCATGCATAAATGTGAAGTTGTCGTTTTTTCCAATTATGATGATGTGCTCATTATTTGCCAGAGCCACAGTTTTATATTTGGCTTCAGGTGGGATATGGAGCTTAGTCATGGAGGTCCATCCCATCTGTGACTCTTTGAAGAGCGTTTCTGTGCCTGTTACTTTGGTGCGACCCTGAGCACTGGGGCACTCCAGTGGTCTTATGCCTCCAATCACGTAAATATCTCCTTTATGATTAACTGCTGCTGCATGCCTTCTCCTTTCTTTCAGCTGAGGGCCAGCTACCCAAATCTGTGAAAAGTTAAGTGTATAAGCAACTCTATATTTCCAAGATGGCCTACATAGAAAGTCTTCCTTCATTTTTTCAGGTAATAAAGTGTCAGTTGGATGATTAATTTCTTAACATGTACATTAATCATAAAAGAATTTTAGTAAAGGATAGCAATGCAACACTACTGTAGTGCAAATTAGATAACTGCTGCAGAAAGGAATCACATCTTAACATATAAATTAGTTTCACTTAATAAATGAAGAAACCTACTTTTTAGATTAAAGATGCCTCTTATTCTTAATTGTTAAGATATCCTTTGCCTATTTTTCAAAACTTTTCAGACTGGAGTTTTTACATATCCTCCTAGTCATGTTAATCATATGTAAACAGCAATTTAACCTGATGGTAATACACTCGTGACCAACTCTAGCACCCAAAAATATAATCCAAAAACTGTGACAGAATCCTTAACAATTGTTTAATAAAACATTAATATTTAAACTTCAATTCCTCTAAGGCTTAAAATTTTGCCACTTGAGCCAATACATTGTATTCAAAATGACAGAATATAATTTGACTGAGATTCACCTCTACTATGGGTTTTACTGAAAAATATTTTTACAATTCCAGATTTTAGAATTACCTCTTCTTTAATGCAGAATATCTCTACTGCATCCAACACCCTGTAATATGGACTTCCATCTGGTAATTCTATCCATGGAGAACCTCCAATAAAGAATATTTTTCCATCACTCACTGCCAGAGCTGCTCCATGCCGCATATTTGGAATTGGTGGAAGTGATCTCCACTTATTGGCATACATATCAAATTCTTCAAAGTTTGTGATTTGCAGTTCACTCTGAAAGTGATGAAATCAGTAGAATAATATGGTTATATACAAAATGAAAAATTGACCACAGGGGCTAAAAATTAATGAATTGATAAGACCATAGAATTTATATAAATTCTCTATAAGGATATAGTAATTCTCTGTGGGATATATATAAATGATTAGAGCATCTACACTTGAATAATGTTTCATAATGTTTACCTCGTTAATGTCACATCCACCTGTTACATACAGCTTTCCTGCATAAGATACAACCATAGGTAGAAAACATGCAAATGGCATTGGAGCCATCAGTGTCCAGCTATTGGAGAGCGGGTCATATCGTTGCACATCACTCTTGGCTTCTCCACTTTTGCTGCCTCCACCAAGAGCAAAGAGGTATCCACCTGAGTATTGGGAAAACACATGGAAGGTAGTAATATATCCCAGAAGAACAAGCTCACATATTATCCAATTGATGATTGGAGTGCTGGGACACATGCATTGTATAATATGGTCCCACAAGCTCTTAGTTACCAAGGAGTCAATTACCAGACCCATCTGCCTTTCCTATACAGTACACGTCAAAAGTATGCAGTCCCTACCTCTCACAGCTTCATATTCATGGTGGAAAAAGGTTTGTGTTTTCTGAGGTGAAATTAACTAATTGTGGGGTTTCTTTACTGGCAGGGGCCTTGAGAAACTTGTAGGTATTACAAAGAACATCAAAGTTAACCAACATGACAACCCGGATCTGCTGAGTCACCAATCTGCCTGATTCTTTTGCACTCACCAAGGCCAGTATCTTCCAACAAGATGATGCCTAAGCAAAACCTGAAACCCACTGACTTGAGGCCTGCATGGTACACTTTATAAAGGATTGGCTGGGCAGTAGCCCACATCTGAGTCTTGGAAACCAGGGCACATCATCGAGAGGAATTTACAGGGGAAGGACGTTAGTTCAGTACCGAAGCTAGAGGTAGGCATTCTTAAGTCTTGGGACAAAAATGTTAACTAAACACACTCTTTCATATAAATTCCTCAATATAGTCACTGATATGCAAATTGGGAAAGCAGGGGCCATATACTTTTGACGAGTACTGTATATACACCATTCTTTATTTTGTCAGAAGAAAAGTTTTTATTATTATTATTAGTTATCAAAATAATATTAAGCCAATGACAACAAAGACAACAACAACAATAATAAGATTAATATAGTAATAATAATAATAATAATAATAATTATAGCATTGATAACAATAATAATTTTTAACATTTTCATGTGTACAAAACATACACTTTTTGGATGCTTGCCTCCCTCCATCAAAAAGTGTACAAGAAAATGTTGATGTTCATGAAGATTACATTATTCCTGTCACCTTTGTATAAAACATCTCAAAATGCTGAAAAGAAGGATAAAAAAATATATATGAGGAAGGCCAAAAAATGTGCCCATATGTTCAATGATTATAACTGACAATTGTACATTTTCATGTAATAGGTACAATCCTCTGGTTTGTGAATCATTTGACATAGGGGCACCTTTTGCATGCACAAGAATAACACCAGCTGAATTATATAGCGTGTATCATAGAAAAAAAAAAAAAAAAAAAAAAAAAATCATACTTTTTTATTTTGAAAAGCGTACATCAGTCCCTAACTCCCTCATTACCAGTGCACGGTTTGTAAGTTTGTGAAAATGCTGAAAATTGTAACCCACCCTAACAACACTAAATACTACTACTACAGGGGCAAATCCAAGATTTTTGGAAAGGGGTGCACACAAATTCATTAGATATGTGCATAGGCATAGCTGTTTCTTTCAAAAGCTTCAGTTAAAAAAACTGCCACAAAAATAGGTGGTGTGCACCCCCTTGGATACACACCTGTACTATTACATTAATAACAGTAATGATAATAATAATAATAATAACAGATAATAAAAGTAATAATAATATAATGAAAATAACATTAGACTAATAGAAATAAAAACTTCAAAAAAAAATTAAAGGAACAGGGTCAAGAAATGGGCAGATCTGACTAATGACTGACTCCTTAGTAACTATTCACTTGTGGAGCCATTCATTTGTAAAACAATACATATAAAACAAAAGCTTAACAGTCAATGCAAGTTCCCAGCATCCATAGGTTAATCCACCTTTCCAATTCTCCACAGCATTAATACATGAAATATCATATATGAAATAATAAAACAATGATTATTCACTAAGAGTAAACAAACAGAATTTTTATTTACCTTCTACCACAAGTGTAGGCTTAATCCTTGGGATACACATAGGTGGTAGCTTAACATGAGATCCAGAATATTTGCCTGAACTCAGGATATCCACCAAATATATACCACCTTCATCATCCCCGCATGCAAGGACCGTTTTGGTGCCTCTTTCCCTGATGGATCTAATTCTCCTGGTCTTCTTCAGTGCATCAAGAACCATCATAGCTCCTGGGGAGTCCCATGGTGGTGTGGCAGCCCTCAGATCTTGTAAAGCCCTTTGAAACTTTGGATCATACTTTAAGTCTGCAGATTCTCGCAAGCAGCAAGTCACTAGGGATCTAGAAATGTACATTTCCTAATTGTAATACAACTGCACCAAAATACCATTTCTATATATACTCAGCACTAGTTTTATCTTCAGTGGTTTACATCATACTTATTTCTGATTTAACAAAGGACTTACTCCACATCAGGTGATTTCAGCTGGTTGGTATTAAGCCATACCACTAGAGCTGTGAGAATATCTAATTCTGATTTAACAGCAAGGCCATCTTGTGACAAGAGGTCTTTTAAACGTTCCTCACTCAGGTTACGAAACTCTTCTGTTCGTACAACTTCCCTGTAATAATCATTAATATCTTTCACATGTCATTTCTAAGTATGTTCCATAATTAGAAAAATATCAGCCAAACATTCTCATTTTCATGAATGTCTATAATGATTGCTATTTAACAGTTTTACATATTAAAAAGCTTCACAATATATCACATCTAAGGTTACTAAGTTTAGCTTCTGTTCATATAAAGATTAATACTATACAATCATTAATACTGAGTCCAGGAAGTTGTTGGCCTGAACCATGCTCTTAGGGTAATACCCTACTCAAACTTGTATTTTGATAAATCTAAACTCAAGAAAATGCTCTCCAATATCACATACCTGTACTTAAAGTGCTGGCAAATAAAATCTTTAGTAAAGTATACAAGTCTTGGACACGAAAATCTTTGTGCAAGTTCAAGTATGCCAAGACAATTTTCTACTTCAATAATACTCATCAGGTACTGGACACACAACTCCTGAAGTAAAAGGCAAAGAAAAAATAATGAAAAACAAAATAAAGCTTAGTGTCATCTGAGATTTAGCTTTTAAATTCACAATTGGCTTAAGTGAAAAATAATATAGATTTTCAAATTAAACTAGAAATTATTTATTTTTTCTCCATACAATTAACTTTAAAGATAATGTTTGGGCAACAGAATAATGTGCAATACTTTTAGATTAGCAGTAAAAAATACTTAAGCCTAAAAACTAAAGGGACATTAAGCATAAAAATTGCTAATTCCCAAATAATGTACCATAATACTCTTAAAATACAAACAGTTTCTAAGTATATGAAACAGCCTTCAATGGCCATAAAACCTGAAAGCCTACATTGAAGGCACCTAGCCATTAAAAAAAAAAGGCAAATTTACCTTTCACATCATCCTAAAGAAAACAACCATGATTTCTGTTTATATTTTGTATTACAGCTGTAAAGATTCCTCTGCCTTCCAGGTCAGTCAAATCAGCATTGAAACTTTATATCTAATTCAACATCACACAATACAAAAAAAAGTGCTACAGGAAATGGTGCTTCACATGATATCATAGAGCAATAAGAACTTACTTTTAGCTCAGTCATTAGTAGAAGATCACTGGCTTGTAATATGTCTTGGATATTTTCAAAGTCTAGAACAATGTGACCTGTATAGATGAAATCAAGGATGACTTCAAAGGTTTTACATGTGATTTCTAACATTGGCTCTGCAGTGCGATGTAAACCTTGTTGTGCATCCTCTTCAAACTCATACAAAACTCTGAAATGCAACAATGTGTGATAAGAGGAGGAAGAGGGAGAGGAGAAAAGATGAAAGAATGGAAAAGGTAGAAAGGAGAGGAAAGGAGAGTGAAGGAAGGGGTGAAATGGAAGGAGATAGCGGCTTTTTATTTCTCCAAAAGTAACTGACACTTTATAAATATCCATAATACTGACTACTGACTTTCGAACAGCATTCTATTATACACCTAAATAGAAGTCTAAATAAGTACAAATGCTGACCTGAAATAGGGGCAACCAGCTGCAAGTAATGCACGACTAACTTTGACACTGCCATCCAAAAGTTTTACATTGCCATCGCATAGGACTTCCAATCTGCGAAGGGATGCAAGTCCCCCCAGTATTCTTGATGCATGGAGAGATCCTGTAGAATATTCCTGCCTGTTCATGCTGGAACTTCAGGACCTCCTTTAATGAAAGAAAACCTATAAAAAATCAATTGTTCACCTATTTTCTCAATGCTTAAATCCTGAAAATTATAATACTGACAAAAGATATGTCATCTTTATTTAAGATAGTGATAAAAAGTTGTGATGTTATAACAATATTGATAATTAAATAATAATAATATGATTATGTTATGTAATAATTATCATCATCAAAGAATGATGATGGTTTTCATGAAAATATAAACTTATTCATAATTATGGTAATATTACTAATAATAATTTTTAGACAATATATATCAAATGTATGCAAACCATGCTAATTCATCAGACTTGTAACAAACTTCCAAGATAGTGACTGAAATTCAGAATCAAATTATCCTTGAGATTTGAGTTTCTCATGGTCTTCTGTCTCTGATGCTAAGAAGTGAAAACAAAAATTATGATTTTAATTTTTCAATCTAATAAATGTAACCAATGTTTATTATGACAAAACCCTGTGTGGTTGGGACACTGGAATAACAAAATCTTGCCTGCAAATGTCAAAGTTTGCAACTCATTGAGTGAGTCAACACTGACTGAAGTCTTCTTCAATATACATTATAAGTACTAGAATGCATTAAAGAGTAGAGCTAGGTTTTGAACAGTATCAACGGGCAGAAATGAAATCAAAAATTTAAACTGAATTCTAAAAATCAACGGCAGACTCATCTTCAATGCATTATTCCTCATCGGCAATGCAATGAGTGGTCACCGCTCCCGTTGCAATCCGTCACTCGACATGCAACGATACGGGATCTGACAAACTCTGTAACTGTACATCAATCGTAGACTCCAGCTAAATATCGATTAATATACATCTTGTCCAAATCATTTACACACCTTGATTCTGTGTCTGTCACAAAAGTCTTATTAACAACAGGGCCGATTGCTGACAAAGGTTTATTTGCTAACATTTTTAAGGGGTCACTATTAAGGGGATGGTTTAATAATCTTTTTACCTTTATCAGTATGATTGTTACTGTTATCATATTGTCACTATAATCATTGAGAAATTCAATGATGATAATGATAAGAACAGAGGCGGTAATATTATTGATAATTATAACTACTATAAAAAATACCACTACTACTATTATTTGCTGCTGCTATTACTACTACTACTAACATTTCTACACCTACTGCTGCTGCTGCCATTACTATTACTATTACTATTACTACTACTACTTCTACTACTACTACTACTACTACTACTACTACTACTACTATTACTACTACTACTACTACTACTACTACTACTACCACCACCAGTCCTCCTCCTATTCCTACTACGAACAAAAATTTAGAAAGATATGCCATAAAAAATGAATTTTATTTGTAATTTATATAAAAAATGTAGTGTTGTGGGGAGGGGAAACCAGACTTTGAGGGGGGTAAACGAAGTCTTTGGGGGATACTTCCCTCCTAACCTTCCCAATGGACGCCTCTGCTACTACTCTTGCTTCTATTTACAAACCTTCTCCTCATACTATTACTACTACTGCTAATGCAGC